AGCAAAACACACAGCTCGCTGTCCTGCAGAGCGATGTTGTGGAGGGCAGGATCTGCCGTGTGGGGCATTTATCATTGCGGGAGGTGGTTGTCTTTTGCTGTGGGTCAGAAGGCGAGCTGGTGGACCTGGTAGCCCCTTTTTGTAAGTCGCCCTGGGAAGGTGGTTTTTGGATTTGGTCTGTGCTTTAGGATCGTTGGTGACACGTTAGAATAAGGCTTTGCTGAGTACTCAGACCGGGAGATGCCTAATTGGAATGGCTAAATGAGCAATGCCTAATTGGAGGTTTTGATGTTCAGCATCAGTGTTGTCTGGGGAAGCAGATGGAGTCGCAGACGGAGGAGCGAGCGGTACCTGCGTGTCTGCAGGGTGGGCGCAGCGTTCCCCAGGGACGTCTGGGCTGGTGCGGGGTGGAGGTGCGGAGCAGCGCGGTCATGGGCTGTGTCGCATCGTGCAGGTGGTGCTGCTGCAGTGACAGCTCAGGCTGCGGGAGGAGGTTGAAGTGTGCCCGGGCACTGCGCAGGCCTGGGTAATTCTCTGGCCCTGACATCGGTCGACCTCAGGTCGGCTGCTGGCGGCGGGCAGGGCCTCATCCGGCTCCGCTCCGTGCGCTCAGGATCAGGACCGTGGGCACCAGCCCCTTCCTGGGGCTCAGCTCCGTGTGCCCAGGCTCCCCCCGCAGCGCTGGGCATCCCCCGAGCCCCGGGACGCTGCAGCCCGGCTCCTTCGCCCGCTGGTTAGAGCTGACCCTGCTCAACTTTCTAAAAGTAGCCCAAGGTCCCACCCACACAACCTCGCTCTTTTAATTTCTCAAATTACCCTTTGGTGCCCGCAGCAGAGCGAATGTTGCCTTGTAATTTGTGTTGTCTTTGACAATTGAGGGAGACTCCTGTTCCCGAGGGGCCGTGCCTGGGGGAAGGGAGGATGGAGCAGATGGGGGAGGACGTTGGGGCGTTAATTAGGATTGCAGAGAGCCTGTGAGGGAGCAGGGGGAGCAGAAGGGCACCGGTTTGCTCGCGGAGCCCCGCGCTGTGCTGGGCTGGCCGTGCAGCGATGCTGTGGTGACCGCCACAGTTTCTGTGTTCAGGCATTTCTGCAACTTGAAGAGGTTGAGTTGTCCAGGGGCCTGTAGGTGTAACTGCCCCTTGTGCATTTCACTGTGGTTTGTGCTCATGTTCTGACACTGCTGCTGCTCTGATGGGGCAGGAGCCGGTGCCTGTTCTGAACGGGGCCGGGTACGTGATGCTGCCCTCCTGTCAGAGGCAGCAGATGCCGCTTGTCAATGGGCTGGGGAGGGTGCTGTGTTGTGGTGGTGCGGGTGTTGTGGTGGTGCGGGTGTCGTGGTGGTGTGGGTTTTGGGTTGTTTAGGGTCTGCGCTGCAGTTGCAGGCCGTTGTGGTGCTGCAGGGTTTGCCGTGGTGGGGCCGGGCTGTGCCCTGCATGCAGGGAGGGGTGTCCTGGCCGCTGGGGTCTGCGCTGCTCAAGTGGCCCCTCGGCAGCATTGGAGGTGCAGGGAAGGGGTCAGTAAGTTTGTGAAGGGTCTTTGCTGCGGGTGAGGCACACGGTGCACTGCTCCCGTCACATTGTCTGCGTTGCCCCAGCAAAGGTTTCTAAGTGTGAAACCAGGGTTTCCAGTGTCCAAGGGGACTTTCTGCACGCCAGGGGCCAGAAAACGTGGAAACGTGCACAGTGAAACCCTGCAGTGGCTCATTCAGAGAACTCAACAGGCCAGAACCTTCCTTACAAACCCAAAGGTTGCTCTGGAGTATGGCGAGGCAGCGAGAGCCCTGGTTGGGAACTGGTGCCACTGGTTCTGTGGCAAGGGAATGTGCAGTGGAGAGAGCAGAGGGTGCGATGTGAGCCAGGAGCGCAGGGCAGATGAGACACTGGGGAGGGCAGCTGATGGTCTGTTGTGTGGAGAACAGCACCCGTGGAGTCGTACGCTGCTGTGGAGTGGCCAGGTTACGTTCTGAGAGGTTTGACACAGAGCAAGGAGAGGTGGGTTCTGGTTTGGGGATAGCAGTAGTTTCTGAGTACCTGTAATGGGCTGGGTTTCGCTCAGATCAGTCTCACTGCAGGGGCAGGGAGGGGATCCCACCCTGGGCAGGCACCACCTCCTGGCGCTGGTGACGCTGGGGCCGTCGCCCTGGGCTCTGCAGCCAGAGCAGCTCCCGCTCAGCTGCGGCTGGGGCCAGCGCGGGTCCCGCTGTGTGCGGGGGAATCGTGTCCCAGCGCTGGCACCTCGGTCTGTGTGGGGGATGCGAACCCCACGCTAGCCATGGTATTGCAGTTTGCGGTGCTGGCACTTGGCTTTTTTCAGGAGCCTTTGGTACAAGCAGAGCAGCACATTAAGACTCAGAGCAGCTCGTTTTCATCCCACAGGTTGTCGAGCGGGAGCCGCTCGTCTGTCACCTGGACCTCCTGGAGCCGCCTGCTGCTGCCCCCGAGGAGCTTCCCGAGGAGTTCTTCGAGGTGACGGTGGACGACGTGCGGAAGCGCCTGGCGCAGCTGCAGAGCGAGAGGCAAGTGCCCTTCTGCTCCACTTCCTTTGAGCAGTGACGCTGTGCACCTACAGCCAGCCCTGGCCCTGGGTGTGGGCTGTGTGGGAGCTGCTGCTGTGGAATTACTGAACTGGTGATCACCACTGGGAACCTCTGCCCTTGGTGCCATTGGAGCACAAGGGCTGTGACAGAAGCTGTGTTTTTGTGTGAACCGGTTGAGTGTTTCACATGGATGTTGGGAGTTTCATCGTGAGGGGTCTGTGGTGCCTGCGTGGTGATGGCTTTGGGAGTCACTCACAGCCATGTAACTCCCCACCTCTTCTTTTTTCCTTCTCCCTTCTCCTGAAAGAGAAGCTGCTGCCTTTGTAGCTTCTCAAAGCAATGAATGTGTTCGGTTTGAAGTGCCCCATGACTCTCCTTTAAACATCACAGGCGTTGTGAGGCACCGGGACCAAGTCTGAGTTGCACTTTTTACTTAGAGCTGATGTGTTCCCCACAGGCCACTGAAATCCACACAAATACACAGATTGGCCTGAAAATTGCTCTGCCAGTTGTGGCTCCGGAGTATTTAGTGGTGCAAATGCAGCATCATTTGGTTGGGGGTTACTGGAATACAGTCCCCTCAAAAAAAGACCTAATTTCCAAATTTGCTGATGCTTGTAAGCCATTTTTGCCCCACAGACAGGGATAAAAATAAAGGCAAGTCACACATGAAACTGATACCAGTTGGCTTCTGATCTCAGCCCGTGCATCTTAAAACAGAAACGAGCTGCATACAACACAGTATTTCGAATGCAATTAGAGTTTAATTCCAACTTCACGAGTGGCTGAGCACTGGTACAGATCAGCAGTGCCACACCAGGAAGGAGGGAGCGGAGCAGGTTGGTTCACGTTGCTGTGCAGGTTGGAGCTGGCGCTGCCCGAGCGCAGCCTTGGGACCACTGGTGCAGTGAGGCTGGGGTGGCTTTGGGATCACTGGTGCAGTGAGGCTGGGGTGGCTCTGGGGTTGCCGGTGCAGTGAGGCTGGGGTGGCTCTGGGATCGCTGGTGCAGTGAGGCTGGGGTGGCTCTGGGATCGCTGGTGCAGTGAGGCTGGGGTGGCTCTGGGATCGCTGGTGCAGTGAGGCTGGGGTGGCTCTGGGATCGCTGGTGCAGTGAGGCTGGGGTGGCTCTGGGATCGCTGGTGCAGTGAGGCTGGGGTGGCTCTGGGGTTGGCATCCTTGGTACCACTGGTGCAGTGAGGCTGGGGTGGCTCTGGGATCGCTGGTGCAGTGAGGCTGGGGTGGCTCTGGGGTCACTGGTGCAGTGAGGCTGGGGTGGCTCTGCCCAGCCACTGCCCCTCAGGTGCCCTGAAAATGAACAGACGTCCTCCAAACTGTGTGGGTGTGAGAGATTCGCTTGCAGAGTTGTGCAGAACTGTGATCAAATGTTTCACCGAAATCCAGCCTGGTACATGGGTTATTCAGAACAAAGAGCAAACTAGGAAAAGGGACTAAAGCTGAGCATGGGATCTGTTGGGTCTAAGCTTATTTCTTTACTTACAGGAAAATACAGAACTGTTTTATTGAATTCTTTGTTTAATCTTCAATAAAGGTAGATTGTTTCTTCCCACACCCGCTGCTCCTTTTGAAACACCAGTCTGTGATGCCAGGTCTTGACTGAAGTGAAACGTCTCACTTGTGCTTTGTTTCCCTGTTGCCAATTAATACCCATTAATTTCTCGCGGCAGCGTTGCTTTTCAGCTTCAGTAGCTCTTGGTGTGATCATGTCCAGCTTCAGCCTCTGCTTCCTTGGGTTAACAAGTCCATCTCTTCTGCAGCAGTCGAGGCAAACTTGCCCTGCTCTTCTTCGTACTCTGGCATCCGCTGTCGTGAACTTACTTTTAAACTTGTACAAGAAAAGTGATTTTACACAGGATCGTTGCTGATGCCCAGTGGTTCCACATATGAGATTTTAGGGTAGGAACCGTGGGAGGTGGGGGAAGTGTGAGGAATACATGGAGCAGTTCTCATCGGCCCTGCTTGGACCCTTTGCTCTCTTAGTGAAATAGGAATACATCTTGGAGTGACAGCTTCTCTCTCCCACGTGTCCAGGAAACGCCTGGAGGAAGCTCCGCTGCTGACCCAGTCCCTGCGGGAGGCGCAGCTGAAGGAGAAGCTGCAGCGTTACCCAAAGGTACCTGCACCCTCGTGTTGTGCTGTTCCTGGGGTCAGCTCGCTCACAGCCTTGGGAAGCCGCGGCTGCGTTCTCCGCAGAGCTGCACACACAGCCCGTGTGCTCCTCCACCCCTGGGATAGCTCAGACCTCCCCAGTTAAAATAAAAACGAATCTTGGTGGCAAATGCTGAGCCAAGGCCGGGTGTCACAGAACAGCCACGCACAACCGACCCAACGCGCTTTGCCTCTGCCGCAGGTGGTGCTGAGGGTCCATTTTCCAGACCGGCACGTCCTGCAGGGGTTCTTCCGTCCCAGTGAAACCGGTAAGAGCCACCGCCAGCTCGGCCACTGGTGGGTGGGTTGGTCCTGGGTCGGCTGCGTGAGCAGGGAGAGGGGCTCTGCACGGGTCTGTGCTGCCCAGGGAGCGGTGCCCTGTCCTCACAGTGTAGCCTTACGGGCTGTGGGGTAATTCCCTTGGGCAAGGGGAGTTTATCTCCAGGAGTGCTTGCTGGAGGCTGTCGGGCTGCTCGATGGTAAAACACCTGTGCTCAGGAAACTCCCTCCTAACGTCCCGTTCTCTGTGTCCAAATGTGGTGGTGGTGGGGTGAGCTTGGGCACCTCCTCTGTGTTTAAGCTTTAAAAGTTTAGGGGGGAAAAGCAACCCCACCACTCCCCTGCCCCAGGCCAAACCAAACCAAACCCAGGAAGACTGGAAAGCAGTTTTACCTCCCGTAGTCACGGGATGAACCGTTCTGCGTCCGTCAGAGCTTGCACCCAGCAGCTCGCGGTGTTGCCAACAGATCCTCTTATTTGTGGCTGGCAGTGATGGTCACTCACAGGTTTTTTGTTACTGTAGTAATGAACAAGAGCTAGTGGGTGCTTATCAGAGTCTCCATTTTGCTCAGGGACCAGCATGTCTCAGTGTTTGTTGTGTTGGCTTGCTTTCTCCAAGGTATTTGTCATGGTAGGGACGTTCTTCTATGGAAAGGGCAATCCACAGAGTGTGTAGGGGTTCTGGTGCAGGTTAACCACGTGCCAGAAGAAGCACCTGAAGAAGCAGGTGTAATTCAGCAAACCTTTCTCTCCTTTTTTCACAGTTGGCGTTCTGAGAGACTTTGTACGAGGCCACCTTGCAGATGCGGAGCTGCCCTTTTACTTGTGTGAGTGTGCTGTGGGTGGTGGTCGGCCTCGTTTTACAAGGCCTGTTCCTGGCGGTGCTGCAGGTGGGATCACGCGTATGTGAGGTGTGACCTGGGGAGGAATTCCTTCCCTAAAAACAGCCTCGGTGCCCAGGGGTGTGCCCCGCTCGCTTGCCTGTGTGGGCAGTGCGAGCACGTCGCTCCTTTGAGCCGTGATCCCTCCCGTACCTGCTGTATTTACTGTTGTGGTTGCTGGGTGGTCCTGTTTTGTAACTTGTTTTTTAACTTCAGTTATTGCACCTCCCAGAACCATCTTGAACGATGAAGGTTTGACCCTCTTTGAGGTAAGGACTCGCGTGCGCTCCGTGGTTCTGTGACTTGCTGCTCCCCTTGCCCCGCCACGTGCTTCAGCTGCGTAACGTGGTGATCCCCGGGGTTCTGCTCAGCAGGACGGGGGGATCCAGGTGCTGGGGGCGCAGGCTCCTTGCCAGGAGGGCTCCTGTGCGCAGCCGCATCGCTGGCCCCTGTGGCGGGTGGGGGTCCCATTGCAGGCTCCGCAGTGTACAGAGCACGCGCTGCGTCCAACCTGGAGATGCCGGCGCGAGAGCTGAGCTGGCGCGGGGTTGCTCTGCCTGTCGCTGGGGATGCGACACTGCACTGGGTAGGAAACTGCAGGAGCTGCGGGCCATATTACACCTAAACTTCACCTTTTTGGTAGTCACTGGGTCAGAATTTGTTTTAAGCCAGCTTGCACATTGAGGAACATGTACTCTGTGTGCGTAACTTTTCTCAAAGGGTGAAATTCAGCTTTTCAGATCCACGATCCTGGAGGTGTTTTGCAAATGTCAGACAGCCTGGCCTTGGGCTCGTGGCTGTGTGAGTCACGCTCGTGTTGGGAGCTTACGCAGTGATTTCTCCAGTGACTGTGCCCCAGACTCAGCCTGTTTAAAACGTGGGCGAGGGCGAGACGGGTTTGAGGGGCAAGGGGTTCTGCTCGACGCCCCCGGGAGCAGAGGGGACGGAGCGGGGGCTCACGAGGCAGGAGGGGGGTGAGGCCGGGCGAGTGCTGCTGTGGAGCTGTTCCTGATGGAGCTTCCCAAATTCCTCAGCCTCCTGCCAGGCCACGTGGAGGAGGTGCACGTGCAGCTGCTTTCGGGCTGTGGGCTGTGCAGGGAAGCAAGGTGTGGGTCTGTGTTCGCAGTGGGAGGTCTCACCTCCCTGGTGCACCATTAGGAATTCTTTGCTGAAACCTGGGGGTTTGGGAGTGGTTCTGTTACGCTGAGTTCCTCACCCCGTGCCTCTGACAGGTTCGACTTCCTGGGAGTCTTGAGCCCCCTCAGGGACCCCATTTGGGGTCCATCCCGTGGTCCAAACCCATCCCATTTGGGCTTGGGGGTTGCTGTGCTGTGGCTGTTGGCCCCACGCAGCCGCACACCCGAGGCGGCTCCGTCTGTCGCCCTCCCTGCACCCTGCCCCAGCTCAGCCGCCACCGGGGTGTGCGCGGCTGTGCGTGTGTTGTGGGACACTCGCAGTGGGCAGGAGGACGATGACTGTTCTTTTCAAGGCCATGTTGTGTGTTTCAGTTAATAATGATTACAGCAGCTCGGTGTCTCTGAGCCGGGAGGTTTTGCTGTTCTCTCTCCCAGCTCCCTCTGCCTTGCGCCATCTCGCCCGCGTCCGCCACCCGAAACGCGGTGTCAGGGCGCGTGTGGGGACCAGGACAGGACGTGCAAAGGACAGATCCTGTCCTCAGAGTCCTGAGAAGTCCCACGAAGGGGACGCCACCTTTTCCTCTCGAATCGCATGGATCTCCAGTTTGGGCACCATTTATTTTTTCTGTGAGGTGGACACTTTGTTGGGTTACGTACATCCTGAATGCTGAGGACTTCAGTCTGCCTCTGTAATGAACCTTTTTCCTGTTCTCAGTTCATTTATTTTGGGTGTTCTGTTGCCGCTTCCACTTCAGGGTGCTCACCTTTCTGGCTCTGCTTTCCTCCATTCCCCCCAGCGCTGTTCTTTGATTTTCTCCTTTTCAGCACGTACCCAGTGGACGTCTTCTGAGGCAGAGCTTGTTCAGTGAAACACCACAGAAACGATCCCGTCTCCCTGTCCTTGGTCAGAGCCCTTGCGGCAGGAGTCTGGTGTGATTCTCTGCCTTAAAGCCCTGGTCCGTCCCTGGCGCCGCTGCCGGTGCTTGCTACGTGTGGTGGTTTCCAGTCGCGACGTTTGCTGTGGATTCCCTGGAACACAAAGTATGTTCAGGTGGTGCTCCTGGGGGTGGACTCCTTGGGAAATCACTACTTGGTGCAGAACCTGGTCAGTTTTGGGGCCAAGCACCTCCCGCTGGCAGTGGCTTTCCGAGGCCGACGCGTGTGCTGTGGGGCCCGCGAGGCGCAGAGCCTCGGTGTTAGCACCGAGGAGGAGCTGTGGCTGGTCAGGACAGGCTGAAAATCCTCCCAGACATCGCCTGTTAAGGAATGGGTTTTCTCATTTCTCGCTTCTGTGTCAACACAAAAGCAGAATAACATCCAACTGAGATAAAGGGTGGCAAATCCAAAGGTGATTTCCGAGGTATGGTTTTAGACAGTGTAGTCTAATTAAACCGCAATTAGGAAGTGGCTGTGTTGAGAATTTGGGCACACTGGAAACGGCGATGGGAAGTCGGTGTGTGAAACAACGGGGGCACTGCAGACTCCGTCTGACCAGCGCCCTAGAGAAGCTGTTTTTGGGCATGCTGACTTCTTGTACCTCTCAGGACCTTTCTGCTGGAAGCCTCAGGATGTTTGTTGTTTTAGAGGAGCTTTATCTGAGCAATTCAGCGCGCGGACGCGTGGCTGCTGCTTACGCTGCGGCCGCCGAAGGTGCCCGGTTGTGCTCGCATCCGTCACCCGCGCTGCTGCTGCTCCCGCTCTGTGCCGGGGGTCGGTGCAGGTGGTTCAGATGACAGACGCTTGCGGTGGGAGCTGCCGGCTGAGGCGGATCAGAGCCGCCCGGCGCGGATGCAGGCGGGTGTTGGTGTTGGTGATGGCCGAGGGTGGTGTGAGCCGGGAGGGGACTCGTTGTCAGCATCGCCCAGTGCGGGTGTTGCTCTGCTGGTGCAGTTTCGCCAGCGGACCCGAGCAGGGGTTCTCAGGCCTTGCTGAAGCTCAGGGGCGCTGGGAATGAGTGCGCGGTTTGACCCGAGCGCCAGAGGCCAGCAGCACCGCTCCGATGGGGCGAGCG